TCTCTCTCTCTCTCTCTTGTCTCATAGCTCGTAAGTTACCACCAGATTGTTTAACTAGTTTACCAGCTGGTGCCTCTCTCTTAAGACAGACTGATACACCATGTGCTAAGGGAGGATGCTGTGGAGGAGGGGGAGGGGACAAAGGACCATCATAATAGTTCAGTCATAATGAGATAATAAATTATTAATGATTATTATTATTATCAATTATATATTTACTTGTTTTTGTACGTGTTTATCATAAATCACATTGTTAATTATTTTGTGTTCAAATTATTAAATAATTGATGAGTCACCATTGTCAATAAAGAGCAAAATACAATTATTACTATTAATTAACCATAAAATATAACTCTATCTTTTACTATATTATAGTCATGGTATTCTGTGCATGTATCTTTTTGTTTCGTATCTAGATTGAGCTTTATATTTTTATTAATTTTTAACGATTGAAGAATCAGAAACATTCCATCAGATGATATTGAAGTGTAACTTACCGATAATAAGGTTAATGTTGTATTGTTGATAATTAGTTCAGAAAGAGACTGAGCACTAACTGAAGTAATATGAGGATTATTAAAAAAGGCTAATCTTAAAAGTGTGTTATTGTGTGTTTGTAGTGTGTTTGCAATATCAGCAACTGCTTTGTCATCAATGGAACAGGAAACAAGTTGTAAATCTAATAATGATTCATTATTAGCCAGTAAGTTACATAAGGATGAGATGCAGTCCTGTGTTAGTTGAGTATCTTCAATTCTCAAGTATTTCACCTTTTCATTTTGTAATAAAACTGGCAACAGATCACATACAATGTCAGGAGATGATTTGCTGATGATAATGTCCGTATGTTTGTATGTTAATAGAGAAACTACTTCTTGACATTGTATTAAAGATGGAGAGGTCAGTTTAACACCATCATCATACCACCTAATTGCTTTAGGTTTTTCTGAATAAATAAACAATTATAATTAATTACTGTATTATCAAGTATAATTATCATTTTTTAATGGCTAAGGCAAGCAACACTTCTGTAATGATGGTTATTATTACGTTCAAAAATTTGCATTTTACAAAAATTGAATCATAGAAATACAAAATTTTGCTTGCCGGAACACATTAATTTTAATTCATTTTTAAAATACAGTGTTGAAATTGCAGATTATAGATTATTAGTACTTATGAATATATCTTACCATGTTCTTTTTTTCTAAGTTGATCTAGTAGAACTGAATCTTGTTTAATTAATGATAAAAAGAGACTTGCTCTCTCAACGTTGCTCCTCATCTTAATTTCCTTGATTTTAGGTATGTCAACATTTTCTGTCAATGCATAATGAAATAGT